TTAACGAAAAACCCTACTATAAGTTCTTCCAGATGTTATTTAATATCTATGCCAAATTTTATTAAGATCCCTTGAGGAGTTTTAGAGGTATGTCTTTTTTTTATAATATAAGGTGGCAAACGAGTAAGCGGCCAGTTACATCCACCGAAATGGAAAGCGACCGCTGCCCATAAACATCCGCAATTGCAGATACGTGATCATAAACATTCATCCATCTGAACATTCGCTTTTATAATATGAAGAGCGGGCGCATTTGACAATTGCTCAACTCTTGTGCGATTGTCTATTGTTTCGCAGTAAATTCAACTGTTTAGTTGCACAAATAAAAATCGAGTAGTGTAACCATATAAGCTGATAGGAATCAAAGCAAGACTAAACAGTTGTGCGCAAAACCGGCATATCTGAAGTTTAGTCAATGAAAATGTTATGCCGCAATATCTCGTTATAACCGCAACGGAATTCTTCAGATATTGTTCCTGTACTTTTTTATTGATTAGCAATATTAACATGACGGGAGTAAATCGCTACGGGCACGCGACGGGCACGCGACGAGCACGCGACGGTTTTTTTTACTTGCGCGATGCTTGCAAGGGAACTTTATGAGCTTTGTTGCGATTTGTGATTATAATATGAATAAGTTTGCATTTAAATTAGTCTATAGACTTATCGGCAGATAGTTTAGTCGGGTGCTTATTCAATTTGAGCATATAGATGTGCCTATACACCGATTTCGTTTTATTATGATTTTGGCCTCAACTGAAATTAAATCCAATTATTTGAGCTCCTAAATATTTTTATTTTAATTTTTAGATACCAATTTATGTTAGTAATAAGATAGATGCGGACGTTTAGATGGCCACATGTATGGATGTTTGTTAGAGTTTGTAGCCTCTGCTGAAAGGATCTCGATAAAATTTGGCATGGAAGTCACAATCTTCTTCTGTCGTCGCTTTTTCCCCGTTATTTGGTGTCGACCTTCCTCGTCCTAAGTCTCCAGACAGCACGAATCTTAGAGGCTTGTTCGTCAAAGTTTATTTCATTCATATCTTATTAGATCGTCATCAGCAAAGTAGGTGGTCTTCCACGGGTTCGCGTCGTCGGCAAGTGTAGCATAGAAGTAATAATCAAGTCAAGTATATTTTTTTTAATACCATGAGAGAGTCGCGGGTAACAGCTATGTAATACGGCGAATGCTAAGGTCTATTTAAGTCTTAGATTATACCTTTCTAATGACTCATAGTCGTGTAAAAAGTTGTCAGTACGTCAGTGCAGGTCCTCGTAGCCGCTGCTACTGCGACGCGGTGCGGTTTAGGTAACTCGATATTTATGAAGATGGTACAAACACGCACTAAAGACACGCCATTTCTGCCCGCTCTATGATTTTCCCCTTTAAAAATACATTGGTAATTGGTTTTGTGCTACGTAATTTGTAGTTTTTGTTTAATAATTTGCTCAAATGTAACTAGTTTTCAAATTGTTATATTAAGAACCACAGCACAAAAGTTGTGCGATTGTCGATTGTTTCGCATCCGATTTATGTTTTGTTACTCAACTAAAATTCAAGTGCACATGCAAAGCGAGACTAAACAGTTGTGACATAGTTTAGTCATAAGTGTGCTCAAGTAGGTAGTAAGGTCGTGTATTTCGAGATTCAAGTCTTCGACCCTTTCACTATTCGGCTATCGGTGCTATGCGATTAAGGGCTTTGTTTTTTTTTAATTAAAACTAGAGCTTTACCAAGATCTTACCCGATATTAAGTAGTGATGTGGTCCAAGGATGGTACGCGATAGCTAAATCTCGTAAGTACCCATTCACCCATCTCTTATTTGTTTAGTAAAACAATTTACAATGGTTATTAGTTGACTATAAGGGCAATCAATGTAATTAGATTCTATTCTAGGCAGGTACGGTTGACAACACAGCCCTAATTGCGACCAAACTGTCCCTATGACATTGACATAGAAGGCTATCGTCACGCCATCGTCGTATCGGTGTAAACATAGACGTGCGTCATGTTCCAACCAAGTATCACGTAATCTGATCTTATCTGCTTAATATTCGGCCACATTCGAATGTTTGTAATTGATTTTGCTGTCGGTACAACGTTTGTATAATAATACTTAGAATAGATTGTAAAATACGTTTTTGACAAAGTATGTACAGTCAGGGAATCTAATATTGTTTGCTACTATCATACTAATGTTGTAAATGCGAAAGTTGGGATGGATGGATTTGTTACAGTTTGTAGCCTAAACTGCTGAACGGATTTATATGAAATTTGGTATAGATGTAGTCTGGAAGAACACATAGGCAACTCACTTTTGTTTTAATTAATTCCATGCGGATGGAGTCGCGGGTGATAGCTAGTTAAAATAAAATTGAAATGGGTTTTCAAATCCATTATTTATTATTTGAACTTTAATTGATTTCTATTTGCCATTGTTTGCGTTTGTAATTCACATGTAATGACGCTGACGACACCTGTCCGTGACCCCAGCTGTCACCAGTGTTTGAACAAACATTTGTCACAATTATTGGCCGAGCATTGTATGAACTAGATGACCTTCAAACAAAGTGATTTCCACGAGGGCGAAACAGTAAGGCAGTACCACATGAAAGGATAAACGATACGGACAAAGCTTATGAACATAAAAAAATATGCCTATTTTAGTAAGGTTGTCGGTAAAGAGAACAGGACGATTTTAACAGTATGTTTACATAATGGCAGTACTAGTCTCCTACTCTACCTTCGTGTGAAATTATTATAACAAAAATAGCTTTAATCGTTTGATGTATTATTTCGTTTTATGAAATAAAGCTATCGTTGATACTGTTTATGAACTATGTAATCAAGAAATTACTTTGATGAATAGATATGTTGAATGTTTTATTATAATTGCATATCGATTTTGTTTGTTAATAATTTGGAAGACAAATAAAATAAGGGAACGTAAGTAAATTGGCTAAAGTACAACTTAAGTTGACGTTATTTACACACGATAGTGTACTAATCTGAGTTTTATAGAAAATGACATTTTTAATGTTCATGTTTCTTTTGTGCTTTTATATTGTCATATTTTTATCAAATACTAGCTGTTGCTTGCGACTTCGTCCGCGTGAAATTAAAAAATTATAATATAGTAGCTTTTTAATGGTGTAAGACTTTTTGAAATCGGCCCAGTAGTTTTTAAGTTATTTCAATGCATACAAAATTACAAATCTTTTTATAATGTTAGTAAATACCTTTTGAAATGTCACTATTTTAGCATAATCATACTTCATACTTCATACTAATATTATAAATGTGAAAGTTTAGATGGATGGATGTTTGTTAGAGTTTGTAGACCAAACGGCTGAACTGATTTCGATGAAATACTATAAATGTAGAGGATAGTTTGGAAGAACACAGGCTACTCACTTTCGTTTTTTTTTTTAATTCCACGCGGACGAAGTCGCGGGCAAATGCTAGTAGATGATAATACTCACTTATTAGATGTAATATGACAAATAATATTGAAAACGTTGTTCTAAAGTATTTGAATAAATAAGTACTTAATAGCGGTAAGGTTTTATTAGAAAGTAAGGAGGGGTAAAGATTTCGTTCTTACTGTGTGATTAGTGGTATAGCGTGGGAGAGCGCATGCGGTGGAAGTGGTAGAAGTTACAAGCGTTTAGCGACATAATTATGAGAGACTAAATGATGACGTTTTACATAAAAGACTCTTTATATTCTTTTCTCAAATTAAATGTATACTTTTTATTACTTAAATATTCCGCATATTCTCCTTAAAATAAAGGGGAAAATTTATAAAACCGTCGTAAGACCTGTCATGATGTATGGATCTGAATGTTGGGCAGTAAAAGGGACGGATGAAAGGAGAATACATGTGGCGGAAATGCAAATGTTAGATGGATGTGTGGGGTAACCCTATTGGATAAGATACGAAATGAGTATATTAGAGGAAGTTTGAGAGTAGCCCCAGTGGTTGAGAAAATAAGGAGTAAAAGGTTAGAGTGGTATGGGCATGTTATGGGAAGGGATGAATCGCATGTAACAAGAAGGATGTTAGTTATGAATGTGGAGGTACATCGGTAGAGGTAGACCTAGAAAGAGATGGATGGATTGCGTGAAAGGTGACATGATCAAGAAGGGAGTGATGACTGAGATGACGCATGATAGAGTGCTTTGGAGGACGAAAACCCGGTGTGCCGACCATACGGGAGTAGGATAAGGCAGGGGAGATGATGACTTAAATCCTCAAAAATATTGATTGTTTCAATAGTGGCCCTCAACTGGTATATAGCAACGACCTTATAGAAGACACGTATAAATTAAAATGTTGATGATTTGGTTATTTTTTTTATCATAAACCATGTTTAGTTGGACATCAAGACAGCATGAATACGTAATAAAGTCCGCTACTGTCGGTCAACTAGGTCATAGATTGTCTAGTAATTATCACGTGCGAAATAGGTCGTCAAGAAAGCTGTCAGCTGGTGAATTAAATATTTATTCGCTGAAGTACAGTAAGGAAATCTGGCCGTGTATCACATAAAAAACTAATTTAGTTTGCACGTTTTGTAAGTGTTGAAACGACAGGGTTCTGAAAGTTGGACACCGCGGAGTTCCTCTACTGTAGTAAAAAAAACCTTTTTTAGTATACCAGATAACAGATATTTTTTTTTTACTTTTTTTAATCGTAAATATCTAACAGTAGTGGGCATGACTTCTTTGCAATCCCGCATTTTCTCATCCCTTCCAATCTATCGATTGAAAAATGTTGTTAGATCTTAAATGTTGATCTGAATGCTTACATGCATGATTTTTTCGTTTTAAATGCCATAAATTGGAAGTAGTAAATTGAAAACTTAAAGGAAAAAAAAATATTTTTCAAAATTATTGCGTAAGGAAAGACCGATGTATTTAAATTTAAGGGTTAAATTTCGTTTTTTTTTTCAACTTTTCTTTCAGTTATTACTTGAAGATATAAAGATGTGTGTGTTGCGATCCGGCTGTACAGCGTCCCCCCGCGCGGCTCCCGCCCCCCTCGCCTAGCGCACGCGGCATGGACAAGTACGAGCAACTATCTGTTGTAAGTAAATTCGGTCTTTATATAGGTTATGTAATGTAGATAAGCTTCTCAAGATAAGACCTGGCTTTTTAGAGGTCCTAATAGTGACAAGTCAACGACAGCTAGCATTTACTTACTAGGTGATTTTGCGCGAATGTTGCGGCAGTGGAAACTTATACTAATAGTGAAATGGGTATATATCTTTGGGTCATCGCTAATTCATCGACATAACAAGTTATAAATGCGTTGCCAACATTTGAGATGAACGTACACTTTCAGTGCATGTTGTTTAGTTCATTACGAGTAGTTTGGCAATCTATGGTAAAGATTTTGACGTCATTATTATTAAAATGTCGCATGTAGGTAGGTGAAGGATCATATGGCGTGGTGCTGAAGTGCCGGCGGCGAGACAACGGCCAGCTCGTCGCCATCAAGAAATTTCTGGAGACGGAGGACGACGCCGCCGTCCGCAAGATGGCGCTCAGAGAGATACGCATGCTTAAGGTCAGCATCTAAAGGTCAAATATCGCCTACATGCAGATTGGTAGTCAAGAAGAAATCGGCGCAACACGAGATCTTCGGCATATACGTCACTATGACAGCTGTCAATGTCATTCAAACGTATGAGAATAGCGCGCCATTATTGCAGTTAATTACGTTGTTAGAATTTTATTAATGTCTAAAAGTACATATTTAAAAAGTACCATAAGAATATTGAAATAGTCGCTTTAATAAATATCATCGTGTCAGGCCCCGCACCACGAAATTACGTGGATGATGTCTATAGGACCATTCCGGGAAGCGATAGTTGAATCACAACATACTTATGCCTACCATTATAGCAATATGCCGCTATTATACTCTTTATTTTCTATATTTTCCTAGTCTTACTCAGAACTGTATCTTTTCAGAAATTGCGGCACGACCACTTGGTGAACATGATAGAAGTGTTCCGTCGCAAGCGGCGTTTCTATCTGGTCTTCGAGTATCTAGACCACACCCTGCTGGACGAGCTAGAGGCAGCTCGCGGCGGCCTTGGCGACCACACCTCGCGTAGACATCTCTACCAGCTGCTCAAAGGCATCGATTACTGCCATCAGAACTCGGTAACTAACTATGACTTGTAAATCATAAGGAGATTGGTCATTTTGTACATGAGCTTTGACTTGAAATACAACTTAGTCACTTGTGTGTCTAACGGACGTAGACGGTACTAGTCAATTTAAGAATTCAGTTTTGGAACGGTACTCTCATCTTTCTTTCAGTCTTCCACTGCTGTCTACTGATACGATAAACGTGCTTGGATCTGACATCGTTTTTAGTGCACACAGCAAAGGAATGGAACAAGTTGCCGGCGTCAGTGTTCCCGTAGTTGTAACGTGGGTGCCTTTAAGAGCAGTGCGCATCTGTATTTACTGAACTATCGCGTATCATCCTCCGACTACATCTTCACTTTGGTCTAGGTGGGATCGCGGTCAAGCGCTGGTTTATACATGATAAAAAAATGTAAAGGCAATTGCAACGTTGTTAATTTTCCCTAGCTTTTGTATTTATGGTAGTCGTTACTATTGCCGTAGATAATCCATCGCGACGTGAAGCCGGAGAACGTGCTGGTATCGCAGGAAGGTGTTGTGAAGCTGTGCGATCTAGGGTTTGCGCGCGCCCTCGCGGCCCCCGGCGAGCCTTACACGGAGTACGTAGCAACGCGCTGGTATCGAGCACCCGAGCTGCTCGTTGCAGAACACAGGTATATGAAACAGAAACTATGGAGGTATAAAAACTAGAGAATGTTTGCTTTATTCAGTATTTTTATGCAAACTGCAGGTACGGTCCGGAGGTAGACATCTGGGCGATTGGTTGCCTGTTCGCGGAGATGCTGTCGGGTGATCCTCTCTTCCCGGGAGACTCTGACATCGATCAGCTCGCGCTCATCATCAGAACTGTTGGTGAGATTGTAATACTTTTAACGGTATAGCATCTATAGTCCGTAAAGAAAAATTTAGAACACAAGATAGACGGGTTTAAGATGACTTTAAAGTCTTTGCGTTTACTTGTGACAGGGAAGCTAGCACCGAGACACCAGCAAGTGGTGTCCCGTCTGTCGGGCGGTGCGGCGCTGGGCGGGCAGGGCGGCGCGTGCGGTGCGGGCGCGGCACGGGGCTCGCTGCCCGGAGCGGGCGCCGCGCGAGACCTGCTCGCAGCCTGTTTGCGAACAGAGCCACGCGCGCGACCCACAGCCACGGTTCTGCTTAGACATAAGTTAGTCAATACAAATAGCTAACTAAGGTATAAATTTCGACGTGTTTAAAGACAATGTAATGCAAAGGTCCCTTTTATAAAGTACTAGCTTTCGCCCGCAACTCCTTCCGCGTCGAATTGAAAAAATAAAAGTTAATAAGCCTATGTGTTCTTCAAGTCTTTCCTCTACATCTGTACCAAATTTCATCGAGATCCGTTCAGCAGTTTAGGCTACAAACTCTAACAAACATCCACCCATCTAAACTTTTACATTTATATTATTATAATAGTAAAGTATTTAAATACCTTAAAAATGACAAGTACCTTACTTCATAGGATCCTAAAAATGATTTAATAAAATGTTCAATATAGTAATGGAATCACTATTTCCAGATATTTCACCGCGGATGGTTTCGCAGAGAGCTTTAATGCCGAGCTCAGAGCGAAGTTAGGCAAAGAGATACGGGTGAGTTGGTTAAATTTATAGTTATTATTCTATCAATGTAAATATTCTTCATTATCTGTGGCACTACAGCCGCGGGTGGGCCTGGTCCAGTAAACTTCTCCAATTCTGTCTATTTTGAGCCTTTTACTTCCTTGACGCCGATGTTCTTAAGATCACGTTCGACGTCATCTAAGTTTCGGCTTACCACGTACTTTAATGTAAACATTCAAGCAGAAAATAAAATAAACCATAACCATATTTATCCTTGTAGAAATGAGGAAATTAATGATAAGATATTTTAATTAATATATAAGTTTAATTAAATTTTGATTTAAAAATCTCTTTTCGTCTGATAAGTGTGGTGCCGGAGGCCTAATTTAAGTCCCTTTCTCTTTACCACCCTTTTGTTATAAAAAGAGGATGGGAAGAGGAAGTGGATTTGAGTGTGACAGTGGAGTAGATGCATAAGAAGGGGAAATATCCTCTTTATGTGCGTCTCCTCCTCCGTCTGATAAGGGTAGGCTACGCATCTGCAATTGCGGATGTCTATGGGCAGCGGTCACTTCGCCATTTTGGCGATTTCAGGTGGCCGTTTGCTCGTTTGCCACCTTATGTTATAAAAAAAAACTCAAAATTTTTCTATGTTCTAGACACCCCCGGCGCAGCAGAGCACGGCGCGCAGCGGCAAACCGCGTCAACAGTGGACCCTCAGTATTATGCAAGTGAGTATTACGTTTTATTACATCTCTATGAACATATACACTATTTTAAAACACCAATTCCTATTCGTCTTTATCTGTACTAATATTATAAAGAGAAAAGATATGTACATATTTTTGTTTTGTACTCAAAAACTACTGGGCTGATTCAAAAATTCATTCACCGTTAGAATTGTAATTTGTCTGTGAGTAACATTTTTAATTGTTATTTAATTTCACGCGGGTGTAGTCACGAGCAACAGCTAGTTTTATATAATTCACATTTGTATAATGATTTTCTTGTATTTTCAGCCGGAAAATAACAGTTCGAGAACAAACAGTACGAATGGGGAATCTCTCATTGATTATAATTACAACCCCAGTAAGTACATCTAATGCACAGATAATCATACAACGATAAAACGTCATCAAATTAAGTTGTACGTAACTACTTGTAACGCCATCTATTGATATATCCGTTACACTGCATTTACAAAGAAATTGAACCCAATGTTTACTTGCCAATAAAGTCAAAGACGAGATGCGTTTCCTTATTAAGAACAAGCAAGTATAATATATTCCTTATTAAGAGAATTTTGTATGTTTATTTCATAGCATCGTGTCTGACTATACGACTTTTTAGAGTGTAATATTATTGTGTTGGTAGGTTCGGAAGCGCCGACAGAGGGCGCGCCGGCCGCAAAGAAATCGTCTAGCGTCTTGTCGACCACACTGTCGTCGCACGTGACTGAAACTGACGAGGTAAGTATAGAGAGCGCCTTAAAACGTACATCGCTTTTTGTAAGAAAAATTAGTTTCATGTTTTTACGCAAGATGGCAATGTTTTAGGTTTCAGAATATGTAAAAAATATTATGTTGCCAGGCGAGTGCGTCTTTGCCGGCGCCTCGGCCTCCCGTCACACGCTCCCTCTCACGCCTCGTCAACGAAACATTCCAGGTAACTGACGGAATCAGGTTCTTTATCAAATTTTAAGGTGATTTTAGATTAATTACTAATTAGATTGTTGACACACTTGTGTGTGCAAATTGTAACCAAATTTCAGTCACGAAAAAAGTGAATACGACAAACTACATGAAATCTAATAGAAATAATTCTTCTTTGTTTTCAGACATTTCCTGTCCCCGTCAGCACCTACCCAAGAACACCCTATATAAAGAAGTAAGTATTAATAAATCTTTAAGTTGAGTTAAGTCTAGAATTTTCTTCCCATTACACTACGTTTTTTGTATATTAAATTGAAATTCTCAAACAGGGTGAACAGCAAGCTGGTGATTGACAAAGATATGTTGGGGCAATGTCTTAAGAAATCTACGAAATCTCATCCCCCCAACTTCTCTTTACCTTATGTTCCGGGAGGTAAGAATAACTTTCTTTCAAGAATTAACATTTTAATGCGGTATGAACTAATTTATTTGTAACACGTAGTTTTTTTAATACTTAATTACAATACATGTATTTTACGTTTATATTCATGTAGTTAATATTTAAAATAACATTTTTATTTCAGCCAGTAACAGCCCCATGAAGAAAGCCAAAAAGCCTCTAGCACATTCCGTCAGATCCTACGATACCTGGGATACTATGGTTAGCAAATTATCAAATAACTAACTGTTGCTGGCGACTATTCTCGCATAGAATTTTAAAAAAACATAGGTTATATGTTACTCACTGATAACGTAGCTTTTTAATGATGAAAGATTTTTTGGAATCGGCCTAGTAGTTTTTGAGTTGTACATACATACAAAAATACAAATCTTTCCTCTTTACAATATTAGAGTAGATTTCAGCTGACCACTGCAACATATTATCACATATGATATTGTACGATCCATAGATGGCGTTGTTTTAAATTTGCTTTTTGCGATACAGCGCGGTGCAACAGAGTCTACTTTCGAGGCTCGCACGCCGACCAACCTGCCGTACATGTGACTCTACAAGCACGGCTTCTATAAGCTGTGCAACCGCCACTGACTTGTACACAATGTACATGCACCGCCTGCGACTTACTGACGACCGTAATAGTTCAATGTTCAGTCAACAGACTTGTGTCAAGCGTATACATTTTCAGTTAACGTTTGTACACTTTGTACATGTTCAGTGTTCAGTAACTTGTGTACAGTACATATGCAGTCAGTATGCAGTCAGTACTGTAATAAACAGTAATGTTCAGTGAAAATTGTGAAATTTATATAAACAATGATTTAGCAACAGGGACTTATTTTTAACTTCTAGTCAATTTTGGTTCAAATTGTATAAAACATCATGTATAATGTAATATTTATTATATATATTTAGTAGTTAAAACTCTAGTTACTCGTACTGTCCTTAGGTTGTTGCTGTCTTTATTGTTGCTTTTGTTAAAACAAAAAAATCGCATGACAGTGCAAAAATATCTGAGAAAATTATGTACTTTTAGAAATGTATTGTATTTTTTTTAATTATGATTCACGTAGACATTTAAACCAATAGTAACTTTTTTAAAAGGGTTATTTTTAATTAATAATTAAAATTATATCAAACTGTAAAAATAAAATGTTTGACAATTCTTAAAAATAATTACTACATGTAAATATGTCAAAATAATTTTTATGTATGTAAAAATTACGATGTATTCGATAGCTATAAAAAAGTTACACTCGATTTTTAAGTTTCTTTAATACTGAATAATTAAATTATGTATTTGAATTTATTTAAAAATCAAACATTTGCTTGGTTTTTTTAATGTTAAAAATACGTGTAATTATTTATGTAAAAATAGAAACATTGTTAATCGTGTTTGTGAATTGTAAATATCAAAATTAAGTTATAAATATGTACACTTGTATACCTTTTTATATTGTCTTGCTAAAAATACTCAAGACTTGTGTACTTGTTAGGATTTTTGTCAAATATTTGAGTGGAGTGGTCTTAAATGATTTATCAATATTTTTTCTTAGATTTTGGTATTCGTTAATATTATTTTTGTAAATTAGTATTTAATAAAGGCGGTATTGTACATAATGTAAATTGTTTTTTTTGTAATGAAGTGACACTATGTACCCTTTTGTGAGCTGATATTAAAATTTAACACAGATGCTCGTTCTGACTGAACAAACGATAAACAGGAATAACTTTTGTTCAAAACTTAGCACATAGGCTTACTAACTGTACAATTAACTGAACAGTTAGTATGCCTGTCACCTGCACCTGTAACTATACAGTTAGTATGTTATTTGCTGCACAGTGGTAACTGCCTGCATGCATACAAGGTGCTGTACAGTTGGTATGCATACATGCACAGTTTTTATCTAAACAGTTCTACAATTCATTTACATTTAAGTACAATTTTAACTGAAAAGATCCACTAATACAATTAAAATTGTGGGCTTTACTGTAAATTCATATTTTTTTTATGAATTCTGGGCGAATTATTACAAATGGGCGACTAGTAGAAATAAAATACGATTACATTTTAGGTTTTTATTTCTAACTGGCAGTTTATGTCTTAAAAATACAGTACACTTGGAAATAATGTTTACATGCAGTAAATATAAAGAATATTTTTATAAAACATTAGTTTTGATAATACTTTAAGTAAATTTCCTCTATCAACCTTTTACATCTCTAAAAAATGTTTTTAAAAAGTTCTTTTGTAATAATTATAAAGCTTTTTATTGATAGGTAGCCATTAACATTTTTTTTACTAAAAAGTGTATCAATACAGGGAAAAATCCTATAATAATGAAAACTATAAAGTTAATATACTAGAAGATATAAACATAATCTTAATTGAATTAAAAAAAAATAAGGAATTCAAAACTTTTACGTACTTATCCTAATTGAGACCTAAAATATAATAAACTAAAGTTAAAAGCATCTAGTCTAGACACCTAGGATATATTGACTGGTGTTTTTTACTAAAGAAAACGCACTTTAAACAAGGATATGTGATTATTCAACATTTCTACAGATATATAGATTGATCTAAAAAAAATAAAATCGTCGATTTAACAAAATAAAAATAAACTAATTTTTTTGCACATATTAAAAAGTGTAATTAAAATGAAGTATGTCCAAGACGAGGTTCATTTTATTATTCTATACATTTCTTAATATACAGTGTATTTCATATTCTTCAAGAAATGAACCATTAAATTAATTTTAAATAAAAGATCCTGGCTTCTGTAAAATATTAAAAATGTAGATATGCCGATATTAAGTAAGCGCTATGTGAAAATAAGAGACAATAATATTCTGGTTTCTTCATATTTAGGATATTTTATACATTTTTTGTCTGTAGTGCGCGTTCCCACTGTGTAGTAGTTGAGGTTCAGAAGAGGGGGGGCGCGAGCGGGGGGCAGGGCGAGGTGAGCACTTCTCCGCCGCTCTCCGTGATAGCAACCGTCTTATGGTGCTCTATGAGATCCGCTGGAAAATACAAAACCATATATGAAAATGTGTCATATTTATTGAAAAATTCAGGGTTTAATTAGGTTAGTTTTGTAACGTTGTATACAAATATGTAACGTACAGACGAGGCAGTAAACAAAATATTTTCACCAGTAATTCCTCTGAAAGGTATATCAATTGAAAAGTTTAGTGTATTTGCTTACAAAACATTTTACGAAATTAAAATAAGTGGTACCTTGTAACAGAGTAAAAATAATTGAATATGATGCCATCTATTGACAATTAAATAAAACATTGACATGTAGTTCCGAGGATCTATCAATAGATGACGTGAACAAATGTTTTGTATCAATTGTTTCTACATTTGAGTATGAGAGGTGTATATAGGAAGTGTGTGTGTGCGAGTGAGACAGTGAGAGCGAGTACCGAGCGTGGCGTGCGCGGCGGCGCTGCCCCCCAGCAGCCGGTAGCCGCGCTCCGCCTCCACCAGGTAGTGCTTGCAGCGGTCGTGCGCGCGGTACGACAGCGCGTAGCCCCACACGCGCTCCGACACGCGCACCAGGTAGCTGCCCGCCGGCTGCGCGCTCAGGGCGCGCTCCGCCTCCGCACGAGACACGACACCTGAATAACACAAATGTATAATTAAACAAGGACCGGGTGAGAGTACCCGATGGCGATCTCTGGAAGATTCAGGCGTGCAGTCTCCGTGTCAATCCCCTATAGGCATGGCTTATCTGATTGGGTTGTGTGATCGCCTCGCTCAATTTTCTTCCCCTGTCCATGCACACCCTTCACATAGCAGCTTAGGTAGAATCGTGGTCAAGCGCTGGTTATATTTTAAAAACCCTCCAAAAAAAACTAATACATATGATCGCACGTCGCAGGACCATCCGAGTCCCTTTCCCTTTCCATCACTTTTTATAAGGCTTTCCTTTGATGGAAAGAGAAAGTAGATTTGACTTTAGAGATGAATACGAAATGGACATCTTTATCCTCTTCGGTTCTTTCTCCTTCTTCAATTAAGGGTAGGCAACGCATTTGCAATTGCGAAGTGTCTTTTGGCGATTGTAAACGGTAGAAACACGATTATTGTATAATATAAACCAGAATTACCAAAAAAACTTTGATAAAACCTCTAGTCTAGAGTAATAACTTAAAACTAGAGATCAGAAGCTTTAGTACAAAGAATATTTACCATGAAACCAGTCAACTGGCTTGTTGTCCTCGTCCAAACCAACTCCCTTCGTTAGTTCGTGTGTCTTGAACCATTCCAGTACTGCCTCGCGGTTCGGCGGCCTGCCGGCTACAATTTACATAGAAATATTAGTAAAACGTTACTTTTAGTACTCTTGAAGTGATGGGACAGGTTTAAGGGCAACCCTTGTCCCTAGGGAGGGTCGGCACAGTATACTTCAATATTATATCTCTATCAGTCGTATTTCCTTTCGTATGCACATCCATTTTTACACAATCCGTTCTTCTGGCTTCCTCTACTTCTGTATATTCAAAATTTAGCCTGTCCCACCAAATTGTAAACTGTCTGATTACAATCCAACGTGTAATGTGATGGAAATATCGGATTTTATTACCTGATCTGATAGTGACGTCATAACCTATCTGAGCCCATCAGCCAGTGGAACAGTCCTATACTTTCTTGTTTATAATAATTCTGGTGTCCCATTTTCTTTGATCACAGTAGGTTAATTGGACTTTAAGTACGAGTTTATTAATAGTGCCAGTAGACCAAGAGTTTGTAAGCTAACCTTGCGAGGGGCACGACGGGGGCTCCACCTCCGCACTGAGGCGGTGAGCCTCCCGCGCCGCGCGAGCTATCTCCCTCATCGCAGCTTCAGCCTCTTTAGCCTTACGTTCTACACAACACAATATTTTATCTAAAAAACTGTAAGCAGGAGACCATTTAATGAATCTTACTAATATAAGGAAAGTTTAGATGGATGTTAGAGTGTAAACTAAACACATAGGCTACTTTTTATCCCGGAAATAGTTACGATTCCCGTGGGATACAATCTTGTATTTTAATGTTTACTTGATAATTCTGCAACGGTTCCACATATCTTATTGAAATTTGGCACAGATATAAAACGAAGTCTGGAATACACATTGGATAAGGTTTATCCCCGAAAAATGTCCGATTAAAAAGGGACACGTAGTTTTTTATTATTTAAATAGTTCGTCTGTTTTCTAATACCACGCGGATAAAGTCGCGGGCAACAGGTAGTGTTCCATAATTGTGACTATGTTGTTTTTTGTTATACCGTGATTCAACATTCATTTACAGTGATATCGTTGTTTGGCATACCTAGGGCAGCTCAGTAAAGGTATACCTTAGGTACTGAGCTGCCCTAGGTCTGGTATAGGGATATACCTTGTTCCCTCCATACGACATCCATCTGGTGCGTGGTGCGTTGTGCGTCACGTAGCGTGCGTGCTCTGCGTGCGCGTAACCCACGCAGGATGTCTCCCGCACGCGCAGCCGCCACACGCCGCTCCCACGCCGCCACGCGCAAACTCACACCGTCACCTCCGACCACACCTGACTCCTAAACCATCACTATCAGCTCAACACTAAAGAATACATAACAGTGGTAGAGCCCATTTTAACATATTCGCACTGTAGGGATCGCCCGATGTAAAAACATGCTCACACAGAAGACAAGCGTGAAATGGAAGTAATTTCGCGTTTCTGATGAGTGTAAGTCCCGTAGGCCTAATTTCAGACTAATAACCTTGCCACTCTTTATAAGGGTAGGTTGGGAAAGGTAAGTGAATTTGACGGTGGAGGAGATAAGATGGTGGTATATTAAGGGAAAGGCATCTACAATTTAAGGCTAATATACAGTTCTTATGGTAAAATCTATGTTAATAGCCATGATCGTTGGGACGAACAGAACAAAAATTCTTGTATTACATCATAGTACAATATACTCTACTCTTCCAGTGAAACTAGAGCTCTACTGTAGTTTCTAGTGATTAACAGGTATCACGTATACAACATACGTTAGTATGCTTGCCATTTTTAACTTCTAACATACTAACCTGAATCACATCTCTGACGTCCCTCTTGCCTTCAATAAAGTTGAAATGCATAGTGTTCTTGTTGAGGTCGAGTTTCATAGCGTCGTATTCCGCTTTATCCAGTTCTTTGGGCGAAGGCATCGGACCCAGTTCCTCCATGCGCGCGCGCAGCTCGTCCACGGAGCAGTACAGGTCCAGAGTATCTTCAAGAGAGTCCACATTCTTTGGTGACAAATCGAACTTCTGTAAAAATACGTCAAACAACTATTGACAAAATGATTGCATAACTATTTAAACTAGCTTTGATTCCTATGAACTTATATGGAGGTACGCACACTAACTAATTTTTCGTTATGCAACTAAACATTTAGCTGCGAAATAATCGACAATCGCACAACTGTTGCACTACAGTTTAGTTGAAGGTGTGCGCCCGCTCAAAAAAAGAATACATATAGCTTAACAGAAAAGCATAGTAATCAAAACACAAAAGATATTGAATCTCAAACTCGCGATTTATCTTATTTCCATTTTTGTACAACGCCATCATGATCAAACGCTAGTAACACTAAACACGCGGTACCTGTTCTAAGGCGTCTAAAGGCTGGAATTCAATAAGATGTGTAAGCTCTTTCTCGACTGACTTCCTGAGCTGATGCGCCTCTTGGCACGCTTGTGACAGCGCGCGCTGGCGGGCTTCCTCCGCCAGGATATCCTCGATACTGCGGTCTTCGGGATGTTCTCCCATCACCCATACCTGGTAAAAGTTGCAAATCATAAAGGATTTCACGTTAGTAAATTGTTTATTCTGTATTATTTAAGTTATACCTATTGCTCGCGACTTCGTCTGCGTTGAATTAAAAAAGTAATAAAAAATAGCCTTTGCTACTCACTAATAACGTACTTTTTACGGCCCAGTTATTGAGTTATTTCAATACATACAAAAACTTCAAATCTTTCCTCTTTATAAAAGTAATAGATTGAAATTCAAGCATAGAAAATGTAACTAACACTTGAATACTAAAATAAATGATAATTTACTGCAAAACCACACTAATAGAAATTCAAATGAATTTCACTTCGGTCGTTTAAGACAGAATTTGGTCAAGCAACATTATTTTTAAAGAAATTTTAAGCGTGTCTCAGTTTAAAATAGATACCGCACACTACAGACTTTATCGGCCGATAATTTAGTCGGACGATTGATGGATATATATGGAGGTGGGCATTACCGATTTTGTGCTAGATTTTGGCTTAATTTTATATGATCAAACTATCAGCAGATAAAGACTATAGTCTGAGATGGCTTTAAAACATGAAGCGCCATCATACCTACTTATCATACTAATATTATAAATGCAGAAGTTTAGATGGACGGATGGATGTTTGTTAGAGTTTGTAGCCTAAACGGCTGAACGGATTTCGATGAAATTTGGTATAAGATGTAGAGCATAGTCTGGAAGAACACATAGGCTACTTTTTATATCTGGAATAGTTACGGTTCCCGTGGGATTCATTAATTTAGTTTTTTAATATTTACTTGATCATTCTGCAACGGTTCAACATATCTTATTGAAATTTGGCACAGATATAAAACAAAGCCTGAAGTACACATGGGATAAGCTTCATCCCCGAGAAATGTTCGATTCCCGAGGGATATATAGCTTTTTGTTATTCATTTAGTTCATATGTTTTCTAATACCACGCGGACGAAGTCGCGGGCAACAGCTAGTTATGTCATAAAATTAGATCACGACCTTGCCTCACTTGGGCTTGGTATTTTATACCAATTACGTTAAATATAGGACAATAACGTTGTTAAAGATAGGTGCGGGTAAAATAGACCAAGGCTACATCGCTAACATTATTAAAATAAAACATTATTACGCGAAATAACAAGCCCTATAAAACTTGCTGTTATTCTTGTAAAACGACACAGACTATCACATTGTAATCCGTACAGAAAAAAAAAACAAATAAAAAAACAATCACGGCAGTTTATGGTTTTCGTTATAATAAAAAAAAACTATCTACAAAAAGTAGCTGCTTTGGTAAAAACAGTAAAATAACGTCTACAAGGAGGTTACCTACTTGCGTTCGTGTGAACCGTGCTATATAATTACGTTAACATAAGCAGAAAATCCGCATTGTTCTAGAATATATAACTTGACCGTTACATATGTATCTGGCCGCCATTAGCCCAATTTCCCGCGTGAACGTTATGTCATTGTTTATGGTCAGATGTCGCTGCGAACAGGTTTCGCGGCAAACGCGGCTGAATACTTATGAGCGTTAGAAGTCTAGATATGTCTACTTGTGTAACATCGTAAAAAACTAGTATATTTTTATTTATATTCCACTTGAATATGTGTAGTTTATTACTACTGTAGTTTATAACTGATTTCACTGATGCTTAAAATACCACCTAATAGAGAGTGCAATAAAGTTTACTTTACAATGACAATTTCTGTACAGTTAGCAAAAACAACCTTCTTAGTATTATTTTTTAAATAATATAAATAGAGGGCAAGAATCAGTGTATTTGTGTATAATTTAATAATTTAATCTACATCTATCTAATATTCTTATTAATATTATAAAGCAAAAGCTTAGATGGTTGGATTTTTTAGAGTATGTAGCTTAAACGGCTAAACGGATCTTATTGAAATTTGCCATAGATGTAGAGGATAATCTCAAAGAATACATAGGCTACTTACTTTTGTGTTTTTTTAATCCTCGCGGACGGAGACGCAGGCGAAAGTCTATTCGGTCTAAAGGACCACTCTCATCGGACGAAGACATCCACTTAACATCTTCGTGTCACGAAAGTGCATTTTTTGCATCTTTTGTTGCGAACTGTACTATTCAGTTGCATAATCTGTATTGGACTAGTATTCAACTCACCCAGGGTTCACCATCCTCGCCTTTTAGGAACTGAACGTGCTTTTTGACATTATCTTCAAATTTAGGCTTATCTATGACCTCTTTGCTCACTTCGTCATCCCATACCCGCCAGCGACGAACCTGGAAACAAGAGAAACACATCATCATCATCATCTCCTTATCCTACTCCCGTAGGGTCGGCGCAACAGGTTTTTGTCCTCCACATAACTCTATCATACGTCATCTCAGTCATCACTCCCTTTTTGATCATGTCACCTTTTACACAATCCATCCATCTCTTTCTAGGTCTACCTCTACCGATGTACCCTTCCACACTCATAACTAACGTTCTCCTTGTAACATGCGATTCATCCCTCCTCATAACATGCCCATACCATGCTAACCTTTTACTCCTAACCTTCTCTACTATGGGGGCTACTCTCAAACTTCCTCTAATATACTCATTTCAAACAAGAGAAACACATGAAGGACATTAAACCTAGTATAGTACTATTCACGTTTTATGACTGCTTGGAATTTGTGCTAGACGAAACACGGGATATCATTTCAGGTATATGGACGCCTACAGCATTTAATCCAAGCCGTCATAAACTTTGAATCTTACGGTCTATGATTTAAGACCTAACCGCAACAATTATACACAATTCATCAGGAAACCTGACGTTATCCATACTATCATTATAAAGTAGCAAGATTTGTATGTTTAGATTTTTGAAAAAATACTAGGCCGATTTTAAAAATTCCTTCACCATTAAAAAGCTACGTTATCGCCGAGTATCATAGGTTATAATTTCACACGGACAAAGTCGCCAGCAACAGCTAGTTGTAGAATAAAAAACAATATCAAGAAGTCATAGAATTTGCACAACAACAATAATTATTTTTTATTTCATTTATTTATTTTTTATTTATTATGATTTTACAGAAATTATACAATATTTTCTCCACAAAGAGCGGACGCATTATTTATGATGTCAGAGATAAGGGCAATCGAGAGCACAGTCCGCGGACGCCAGTGTAACTTATCGCCGGATGTGACGGCGCCCGAGTATTTCTTAGGCTTTCACACGAGGACAGAACATAGTAGACATTGTAGTACTATTGAACCAACATTGTTACAACAGTATACTAGTGTCCCGGCTTTATCCTCGTGTGAAACAAGTGGCTGGTGATATCAAATGGCGGCAGACGGAAATACTAATAAATTAGGACATTGATAAATAATTTCACAGTATGATAGATATTAAAACGTTAAATAGACAGAACAACATACATCTTACTAATATTATAAGAACGGGCGCATTTGACTAAACTATCACACAACTGTTGTGCGATCGTCGATTGTCGATTGTTTCGCAGCCAATTCAACTGTTTAGTTACTCAACTAAAACTCTAGTAGCGTGCCTTTCCATATAAGCTCCATATATTAAGACAGTGGCAGTGCCCGCTTTAACATCTTAGCACGAATAGGCCGGGCCGGCACGCCCGGTGTAATACCACGACCACACAGAAGACAGGCGTGAAATGGAAGCAATTCCGTGTTTCGTCTGATGAGTGTGGTGCCGGAGGCCTAATTTAAGTCCCTTTCTCTTTACCACCCTTTTCTCATAAGGAGAGGATGTGAAGGGAAGTGGATTTGACGGAGGAGGAGATACATAGGAAGGGGAGATATTCTCTTCATGTGCGTCTCCTCCGCTGTCGGATAGGGGTAGGCAACGCATCTGCAATTGCGGATGTCTATGGGCAGCGGTCGCTTCGCTATTTTGGCGGATTCAGGTGGCCGCTTGCTCGTTTGCCACCTTATGTTAAAAAAAAATCATCCTAGATATCTATACTAACATTATAAATAGGAAAGATTTGTATTTTTGTATGTATTATAACTCAAAAACTATTGGGCCAATACAAAAGATTCTTTAACCATTAAAGCTATCATATGAGTAACATAGGCTATATTTTTTACAATTATTATATTCGCGTGGAAGTCGCGAGCGACAGCTAGTCTAGTATTTTACATTCTCAATCTAACAAAAGTACCTACAACAAATTCCTATACGTTAACCTTGTTCTTGAGAGTTATTTCTCGAACAAAAACTAATCTATAAAGAGTCGCTGTTAGACTTAGCACTTTAGTAAGACTAATAAGTTAACAGGAATCCCACAATGACAGTTTTATTCCTGTAAACCGCATACATGACTCACAGGATAAATGGAAGCGAATTCGTTCTGCTAGTACAAATATAACCATCAGTACAATACCGGACGAACACCTTTGACTAAAATGTTGTAAGATTGTCGATTGTTTTGCAGCGTTCAACTGTTTTGTTGGACAACTAAAAATTGTGTACATAAGCACATAGGAATCAAAAAGTCGTGCGATAATAGTCAATAGTGTTCGCGCTCTTAGAAACTAAAACTCAAATATAACAAAGAAAATAAGACATCGATTATATTAAAACCGCAAAACTTATCTTTGAGATACAGTCTCTAAAAATAACTCGTAACTTGTTGGAATAAAAACTAAATCAAATATAAAAAACGACGTGAAAATGGCGTGAAATCGTAAGGAATGCAATAATAAGAAAGATAAAGGCTTCAGACCACTATATTTGTTTCAAGTATTTTATGCCATTAAGTGGCAAACCAGCAAGTGGCCACCTGAACCCGCCAAAATGGCTATGGGCAGTGGTCGCCTGCCCATAGGCATCCGGAAGTCTATGACATTTGCGTTGCCTAACCTCGACGGAGGACGATCCGCACATAAAGAGAAAAAATACTTCTCTAGTAATAACGTTTATAAGTGCGGTTAGGTTCCCACCATTAGCTTAAATTATAGGCTTTCTGTACGAGAAAGCGCTTAAAGCGTATCAAGATATAATTTGTGTTAGAATCAATGTCAGCTTACTAGAAAGTCTAAATTATACAAATTAAGTCCTGCTTCCACTGGATAGAATCATTACGCTTTTCTAAACATAAGATAAATGGATGTTTTTAAATAAAATTAAAAATATCTTGTTACAGAATCTTACTAAAATTATTAATGCGAAAGTTTAGATGTATGGATGTTTGTTAGAGTTTGTAGCCTAGACTACTAAACGGATGTCGATGAAATTTAACATAGAAGAAGAGGGTTGTCTGAAAGAACACATAGGCTACTTACCTTTTTTTTTTAATTCGACGCGAACGTAGTCGCCAGCGACAGCGAATTATGTTTATAAAGCAACGACTTGACATATTTAAATCTACAAATCCTTTCCTCAAATAACCCATTTACTCTACTCTGTTCAAAACATGTTTATAACGTCAGTAATATCTCCACCATAGTGTGTAAACACCCTTATCACAAGTGAGTCACAACAGTACACAATAAGCCTTTCCTTCAAACTATACGCCATTCGTTACACTTATTGTACAAGGTTATTGCAATTTGAATACATTTCAAGATATACCACTGACCTCTATAAATGGATAGGCTAAGCTATGGTATTTTGGGTTGATTTGAAATTCGCCGTTTTGGCGTTAGCGCCAAACAAGTGGTTGGTTGTGGTGAAGAGTTTTCGAACTAATAATAGTAATATACTTAGCTGTTATTTCTAAATGCCCATTTATCTATATATATATATATAT